AAAAAAAAAAAAAAAATCTCGAGGCACACCTAAGATCCTCATGGCACACTGTTTGAAAATCACTAAGTTATGATGATACTTCATAGTTACTTCATGAGCACACAGCCAATTTTGATTTAAATTCTGAAGGGTGATACTGATACTCAGAAAATGTCTTTATGGATTTGAGAGTTTTTTGCTTGTTTTTTTTAGACAAAGTTTCACTTTGTCACCCTTGGTAGAGTGCTGTGGCTTCATAGTTCACAGCAACTTCCAACTCTTGGGCTCAAATGATTCTCTTGCCTCAGCCTCCCGAGTAGCTCTGACTATAGGCGCTCACCACAATGTCTGGCTATTTTTAGAGACAAGGTCTTGCTCTTGCTCTCCAATCTGAGCTCTCAGGGCAATCCACCCACCTCGGTCTCCCAGAATTATAGGCGTAAGCCACCTCGCCTGGCCCTATTTGAGAGTTTATATACATAGTATTTTCTGTTCCTTCAAAATAAAGAGTTAAACTTAACCTATGCAACATAAATCTAGATTATACAATCAAGACAGTATTTGAATTATGGGTTTGATCCAGACAACCAATGTTATAAATTCTAACCATCAGGCCTCTACAGCAAACATTTTCTTTTTTTTCTTTCTTAAGTCAGAGTCTCAAACTGTCATCCTGGGTAGAGTGCTGTGGCATCATAGCTTACAGCAACCTCTAACTCAGGTTCAAGTGATCCTCTTCCCTTAGTTTTTCTATTTTTAGTAGAGACATGGGTCTCGCTTTTGCTTAGGCTGGTCTTGAACTAGTAAGCTCAAGCAATCCACTCGCCTTAGCCTCCCAGAGTGCTAGAATTACAGGTGTGAGCCACTGGGCCCGGCCTGCCACAAACATTTTTGAAAAAGGTCTTATACTTTGTTGACTACAAATTAAACTCTTTCCTAGTTGTTCTCTTGTAATCCTAGGATAGAATGAGTGCTATCTACCCTAAGTATGCCATCTGGACATTTCTATTGTTTTGTCTTTAGAAACATTTAAATTATATGTGTGCCAATACACTAAACTCAATAGACATGGCATCTCTAGGGCCATACACTGTGGCTCATGCCTGTAATCCTAACACTTTCCAAGGCCAAAGCCAGTGCTCAGGTCTGAGCTCAGGAGTTAGAGACCAGCCTGAGCAACAGCGAGATCTGAGCAACCAGTCTCTAAAAATAGCTGGGTGTTCTGGCAGACACCTATAGTCCCAGCTACTTGGGAAGCTGAGGCAAGAGGATTGCTTGAGCTCAAGAGTTTAAGGTTGCTGTAAGATATGATGCCATGGCATTCTACCCAGGAAGACAGAGTGATACTGTCTCAAAAAAAATAAAACAAACAAACAAACAAACAAAAAAAAAACTGGCACCCCTAATCCTCCTCCTTCCTTTGCCCCCACACACATACATACACAAGAAAAGTTAAATGGATTCTATTCCTAATCTCTTATTTCTTTAGCAGCCCCACAAATTTCCTAATACACAATTCAAAACCTTTATTTATCTTTGAATTCTCTTTTCTCATGCCTTCTATATTCCCATCTGTGGTCAAGAACTGATGGAGCACGCCAGTGCTTGCCTGAAGTCCCAGTTATTTTGGAGACTAAGGCAGGAATACCTCCTGAGCCCAGGAGTTTGAGGCTAGCCTGAGGCTGCCTTAAAAACAATAAAAGGCCAGTCATGGTGGCTCATTTCTGTAATCCTAGCATTCTCTCTTAAAATAACATTATTTTTCCACAAAATGGTAAGCCATATCATTGCAGGGACTCATTCATCTTTGTTTTGTTGTTGTTGTTGTTTAGCAGGCCCAGGTGAGGTTCGAACCTACCTGGCACATGGGGTTGGTACTCTAACCACTGAGCAATGAGTGCCCAGCCTCATTCATCTTTGAACACTAATTACTCTACACAGTACAACCTGTCATGTAACATGTAATGTAACATGTCTAATTAAACAATGTTTGCTGAATGAATTAATGAATATATAAATCTTATCACTCTCCTTCTCAAAACTTTTATCAAGAGAAGTTGCAAACTCAAATACCTTTCAGGGGCTAAGCAGGAAATATAAATGCATAAGGTGTCTGTAAACAGGAAGTGGTTGGGACTGTGGCAAACTGGAGAATAAATGTCCCATCTAAAGGGGCAGCTTCTTGCTGATCCCACCAATGGCTGCCATAATGGAATGTAGGCCTCAGATTGCCAGGTCTTCTGATTTTTCAAGATAAGCTGGAAGCACAGATTTCTTTGTAAAATCTGCTGTTCGTTAAAGGGTGATAATAAATTCCACTTAAAATCCCCCAAACCATCAGGCAGGTCAAACAAAACAAATCTATGGAACAAGTCCAACCTTTAAGTCACAAGTTGGTGACTCTACTCTGCAGAATAAAGGACAAAATTCCTTGCATGACATTCTAAGTCCTTTACTATGAGTTCTTAGCCTATGTTTCCAAACATTTTTTGCCCGACTTTTCCATACAGTAACCCTCTGCTGTCTAGTGCAGTGTTTTTCAACCATTTTTATTTCATGGCACACTTGAACCTATAGGTTAACTTGCACAGCACACTTAAATTATGTTTATCAAAAACAGTAATATAGGCTCGGC